GTCGAGTTATGCACGTGAGGGTATCATACATCTCATACAAAAATAATACCATGCGATCTACTCCTGAATTATTCACATACTCATACCTATGTAAACATATCATCATACAAAATAAATATAAACAACTAATTAAAGAAAACAAATCTAAACATGACTAAATTAAAAGAAACTTAAATGAGGGAATTAATTTAAGTTAAATACACTAATTTTTGAATAATGACTAAATTCAAGTAAATGTAAAATTAAATTTGCAAATTAGAAATAAATCAGTGACTTACATGTAAAATATATATATATAAATTATAATGATTAAAGAGAAAATAACCCAACAACATATATTAGACTAAAATGAAAACCATAAAAATATTATGTCAAATATGTAAAATAACCGAAAACTTAAACAGTGTAGTCTAGGACCAAAATATAACATGCATAGAATTTGATGGCAAAAAATTGGAACTTAAAAATCATGAGACATGGATTAAATGCAAAAAATCATGAGACATGGATTAAATGTATTAAAAAAAGAATTTGCTCTGCAAATAACCCTCCCAAGCACTGAATTTTCCTAAGCCTAAGCACTGTCGTTTTATACTTCATTTATATTCTCACTTAGACTAAAAATAGGACCCTAGTTATCATTTTAACCATCCCACGCAACCCTTCACTTCCTCAACCCCCTACTCTTCTTCTTCTTTCATTCGACAAAACCAGGGGCCAGAGAAAAAAACATATCCACCATCGCTTCGAACGAGATCCAGCAGAGCTAACGCCAGCCACCGCCACGATGGCCTCCCTCCATTCGACTACAACCGTGCATCACCCCAACCCAATTCGATTAACCACTTCGATTTTCCGTCTCCCAAAAAATCCACTCTCAACGATGACTCTCTATTTCTTCGACGATGGACTCAAATAACAGAGGTAAGAAAATTACTTTGCTTCCTAAATTTCTTTTATTTTTCTGTTTTGATATTTTAAAAACTCTAAACGAAAACTAAACTCTAATATTACCCTGCAAGCCTCCCGAAAAATCCCCAACGCCTCGGCCTTGGACCCAACTTTGGCGACATTGTAATCTTGGCGAAAGAACCCTAATAGTTATCTCTCATTTACCTAGACTTCACACATACCCGAAGGTAAACCCAACCTCTCTCATTTCTATTTAGAGTTTCATACTTTTTTTGAAAGCTATTAAAACAAATATAAAAATGTAATTGTAAATAGTCATGAAAAGAAAATCTTACAGGAATTAAATTTTGAATCTGCTTTGTATCGCTTTCGAAAAAAGGTAGGGTAAATCTCCGTTATATTGCTTGCTCTTTGAACACCGGCGATGGAATATTATTTACACCGTTTTTATATTTGCTTTGCTCTGTAAAAAACGAATCTAAAAGACTGTTTTTTTTTGTGTCCTCCCTTTCAAATGCTCTCCTTTTCCTCTATGCCTGGTAGTTTTTTTTTTATTTGAGAACTGCCCACTCTCCAATTTTAAATCCCTCTCTATCCTATGAAAACCGAAACCCCCCTTTTTGTTAACTCCGATAACCAAATTTTTTTTTGTTTTCAGAGAGTATTCACATGGGCAGGAAATTGCTCTGCAAGTCACTGGGCTTAAGTTGGGCCTTCAACTGGTCTGCTTCGGGTCAGCTCCGACCTAGCCCCGGACAAAACGAGCATCTACACTGACGATTAAGAACAAGTACATGTTATCTCATATTGATGATTTTTTCGATCAATTTCATGGAGAGTCAATATTTTCTAAGATAGATTTCAGATCTGGTTATTACCAGCTCAAAGTTAAGGATTCTTATGCGTCTAAAATGACTTTATGAACTCGTTATTGCCATTACGAGTTTCTCGTGATGTCTTTTGGACTAACTAATTCTCCCGTCGCATTCATGGATATGATGAATCGAGTATTCCAACCTTATTTGGATTAGTTTTTTTGTTATCTTCATCGACAACATCTTGGTTTATTCTAAGTCTAAAACTGAGCTCTACCAAGATCAGCTCGAACAGCAGATTGGTTCGAATCAATGGCTACGTCAAATAATTTATTTAAATAAATTATTCTAAAAATAATTACGTAAATGAAATACTAAATTTTGTTAACTAACAATCACGGTTTACACGGCCTATACGATTCGGTTCGAAGTTCGTGAGTAACGGTAGAGGAGGCGATAACTCAGTTCCAAGTTCAAAATTTCCTGCAAAATTATATTGCTCGAATTTAATCTCAATCCAGTAATCTCAGGTTAACGAAATAATAACCAATGGCAAATTAAAAAATATTTCTGACTCGTTTGAGGAACCAGTAGTGAATTTGGTTCGACCACGGTGTGGCTAGTGGCGGTAAAAGCGGAAAATTCGAAACAATGGTCGACAGAGGCTTCCACGGCCAACCCAGGCCGACCAACCACGAAACTAGGCCGATTTGCTCTCACACACGCGAGCCCAACCAGCAAACGATCAAGAATAAGCGCAATGGCTGAACACCCTCGGTTTTCTTTATCGAAGCAAGACAACGATGACAGCTCACACCGTCAAGACGAGATCACGACGCGGGGTAACTGCTCGACGACCACCGGTGACTTACTTTGATTAACGAAAGCGTGGGTAAGGGAAAAAGGAGCTACTGTGCAGTGAAAGAAAAGTAAAAGCAGCGTGGACTGTTGAAGAAGAAAAAGAGAGAGTGAACTGTTGCGGCAGCGTGAAGTAGAAATAAGATTGGGGAATTGTGATTAAAAGAAAATGGGTAAATCATAACCTAAATCCTTGCACTCTTTGGATTTTATGAAATAAGTTCTGAACTTCCTGAATTTACAATTTGGCTACTGTTTTCAATTTAGGAATTAGATCAAATTTCCCCAAATTTTAGGGTTTTAATTTGGGGAAATTTTCGGGTGCTAAAGTAAGCTGGGGCTGCGAAGTAGATCCTCAATGTTTGTTACGTGGTGATGCATTAGAGACGCTTGATCACTTATTTGTTGAATGTGATTATGCTTGTCAAGTGTGACAGTTGATCTTACAGGCTTGTAGGTAGGGGTGTAAATGAGAGGAGACAGATCGTGAGTTACTCGAGATCGACTCGATCAAGGCTCGATAAATACTAGGATCGAATGGACTCGACTCGAGCTCGACTCGAGTTCTTAACGAGCCGAAACGAGCTACTCGATACTCGACTCGAAAAGCTCGTGAGCAGCTCGAAAAAATGTTATATTATAATTTTAGATTTTTTAAAATTACATTATTAAAAATATATTAAAAATACACTATTGATAATTATAAAAACCTAAACCCTAAACCTTACCCCTAAACCCTAAACCCTTAATTAATCCGATTATGTGATAGGAGTTAACTTATGCACATGAAGGTAACATACAAATTATGCAAAATGACTAAATTAATCATTCGCATGCTTATACATAAACATATCAACATGCAAAATAAATATACACAAATTTTCGGTTCAAAAATATGAAGGATAAATGGATAACGTTTAACCTGCTGTGTTTTTGAGCTACATTCAATGTATGCAGGAGCCCCGATATTAATGTCTTCCCTAAAACGATATTGTGTGATACACAAGATTCAAATATTCACCTATAGTTTAACCATAAACTTTTTGTTTCTTCTACTTCTATTGTATTTCCAGCATTGGTATTGAATTTCTTTACTTGTCTCAATCTTACGTCTTAAGCATCCTTGGGAAAAGCTTCTGCAAAGTTAAGCTAGTTTAGTTTTGCAGTTAAGATTGTATAGTTGAATCACCTAGAATTGTACTTGTTATGTAAAGCTACATATATGAAGCTTACAGAAGAAAATTGAATGATCGATAATAATTGTTTACTCTATTGTCAACTTTTATATTTTTAATACTGTTGCAGCGCTGATTATAGCAACTTTGATGAGTGCCTTGCAATTCCCTTTTTCCTTAATATTTTCTGATAATGTTTATGTTAAACAGGCCATCATCAAGCCACAGTATGTTGATCATATTCCAAAGGCAGTTCAAGGCAATGTCGGACAGGTGCTTGACCAAAAAGATGAGAGAGATATGAAGGCTGAACTCTGTGCTGATATTTTATACATGCTGATCTTTTATATTTTTACTTAATTTTCCCTGGATATTTTTATGTCATCATCCTTTTTTTTTAATTTTTAATTCTCAATTTTTATACTTAATTTCTTTTTAATTTTTGTTTAATAAATAATGAATCAATCTTAATGTTAGTTTCTGACCATCAACAATTATTAGTTCTCTTGATTTTTTATACTATAGTTTTTTTAACTTTAAATGAAAGTCTCTTTTTTATACTATACATTGGATGTGGTGTATTTTTAATTTCTTCTTTTATTTTTTTAATGAAATCCAATTATCATTATTAAAAAAAATCAAAATTAAAATATATAGTTTAAGATAATTATACATTTTATAATAATATAAAATGAAAGATAATATCCTCTCATAAACTTATTTTCTTATTATTGAATAATATATATATATATATATCGTACAAATAAAATTCCTCAAATTTAAGACTTAAAAAAAACGACATTTTTTTAATCATTAAGCCATGTACGTAAGTGGGATAGACATAAAGAATCAGCATTGGCGCTTGCCAGCCGAGTAGATGGTAAAACGACACTTGTCGAAAAGCAAACCAGGTGTCGTTTTACTGCTTTGCCACCCACCACCAACAACATCATCCATCACCCCGAGACGATAAGAATCAACACCTTCATTTTTATCGTCTTTTTCCTTAAAAAAAAAAAAAGCACACTGCAACACTTGTTTAAACACTAAGAATTGGTTGGTTCTGAATGAAACGCTCAGGGCTTTTGTTTTGTCTCACCCATTTTTATGTAGTTTTACGCAGCACCACGTTCATGCTACACCTGCCTGCTTTTTCACTAACTTCCAATATTGATGATAATGGCTGCTTAGAGGGATATTAAAGCCTTCCATTTCACCCCCAAAACTCTTCCCTATTTATATAAATCAGAAGAAGAAGAAGAACTGAAGGTGCAATGGCGAAAACCGAGCTGATAATTCTCTCCTTGTCGTTCGCAATGGCGTTATCTTTCATGGCCGTTGAAGGTTACGGAAGGATGGTAGGAGGGAGAACGGAGGTAACCGACGTAAAGACCAACAAGGAGGTGCAAGAGCTGGGGAGGTTCGCGGTGGAAGAATACAACCTTAACCACCGCATCCGGCGGCGGGGATACGACGGTAGCGAGGGAAGATCGGGGGAGCTGGTGTTTTCAGAGGTCGTAGAGGCTGAAACACAGGTGGTTTCGGGTATCAAGTACTATCTGAAGATCGAAGCGACGGAGAATGAGCTTAGAAAGACGTTTGAATCGGTGGTGGTGGTGAAACCGTGGCTTCATTCCAAGGAACTGCTTCACTTTTCGCCTTCCACGCAGTGAGGGTTTCTAAAATCGGTTTTGTGTTGTTGTCGAATCTATAATTTTTGTTTTCACGGGATTGTCTTTAACTTTTAACCTGTGATTTTCCTGGAACATGTAATCTCGATGAATAAAGAAATAGACGCCAGTAAATTTGTCCGAAATGATTACTTTTTTGTTTGAATTTTTTTTTAATTTTCGTGGATTAAATCTGTTGTTCATCTTGAAATGTCTAATCTGATTATAGAAGTTTGGCTATTATGATTATAAGGTAATATTTCAGACCTTTCACTCACTACGCTTATCTCTTATGATAAGTTTAGTTGGCTAAGACGAACCCATACATGAATTCAATAATAGCTTACGGCAGAATGAAATTCAAAACCGAGTGTTTTGGCTAAACTATCGAGATAATATTTGAATAAATTATTTCCCGAGATAATACTCTCCCAAGATTAATTGTTTAAATATAGTAAAATTACAGTGTTAATCGTAGGTCGCCATGCCTTCCGGGCGACTTACTACGTGGCCAGCCATGCACGTCCCCAAGCATAGGTCGTCATGCCCTCCGGGCGACCTTGTAGGTCGTCATGCACTCCGGGTGACCTTGTAGGTCGCCATGCACTCCCTCCTGCTCCTCACGTGATTCCTCTTGCCTTCGGATGCCCTCGCATAGCTTGCTCGGATGGTCTCGGTCGGATGGTCTCGGATGCTCTCGCATAGCTCGCTCGGATGGCCTTGGATGCTCAGCGTGTTGGGACGTGCATGGCACATTCAATCTCTCTTATAGCTCGTCGAGAAGACATGACGACCTAGTAGGTCGCCTGGATGGCATAGTGACCCACGATCAACTGTAGATTTACTCTATTTGAGTAATTAATATGAGAGTGCATTATCTCGTGAATTAATTTGTTCAAGAACATTATCTCGAAAGTTTTGTCGGGTGTTTTCTCTCCTTTGGAGTTTGGACATAGAGCCAAGGGCTATACATCCCTACTTCACCTTGGGTTACGCCTTTATAAAGCTCTGATCTCTTTCTTCACTCGTTATCCGAATTACTCTTCCAGGAGCGGCAGTACCTTACGTGACATCAGTGAAATAAACTCCTAAAACCCTAGGTTCGTGGGTGTTATGAAATGCATTTAAACTGGTTCCCTCTTGAATGATGTCCCTGTCGCTTGAGACTTTTGCATTCCTCTACGCGGCCCTCCGACTGACCGCCAGCCTAATATTAGTTAATTAATGCTTTTCTCTCGCTTTCCCTCGGACCTTTCGCCTCCAAGACCAGTCCTGGAGCTTTCAAACTGTTAACACTCCCTAACGCCTCGAACAGAGCGATCTCATTCACGTAATTAACCGAATATTTTTTCTTCTAAAAAAACCTATTCACTTATATACATAAAGTGGGATTGTTGGTGAAAATCAACTTCAATTTTTATCAAACACCGATAAATTATTACTCAATTTATTTGGCGTTTTGTATTTTTGTTTTTGTTTCTATTTGTTAATTTTTTTTTCATTTTTAGTTTTCTATAATTAAAAAAATTATATTTAATTATTTTTTATTAAGTTAAATTATAAAATAATATATGTTTTAAATATTTTTAATCATTTAACAATGAATGTTTAATTACTATGTTATAGTCGTTAGTACTCGAATCATGACTTCTAAAAATAATAACGACTTCTTTAATCACTAAAAGAAATTGGTTCGTATAAAAATCTATTTGATTAATATAAATGAAAATTTGATTTAAAAATAAAATAATAAAAATATATGTACATATTTTTTAAAATAAAAATGAAAACTTATATATATATTATAATCTGTACTCAATAAACTTTGAATACTGTCTTATGTAGTTGGAAAATAAGTAGTTTCAGTTAATTTATATCTATAAATTATGAATAAATATTTAACGCTTTTTGGATAGAGTATGTAACTGATGAGATTTGATTTTCTTCTTATATTTAGTGTTATCAAAATTTTTGGGTTTAAATATTCGAATTGTGGATGAGTTAAATATTATATTTATTTATATTTGTCTACTTTTGGGTATCAATTTTGAGAAAAAGTACATTATTAAACTTGACATTAAACTTTAGAAGAAACTATTAATTTAACCTATAAATTTAGATAAAATATTAATTCAAGCCCAAAATTTAGAGTCTATTGTTTTACTAAAAATAATTTTTAGAAAATGAATTCTAAAAAATGAATTATATTTTTGGAAAACATTTAAAAAAAATTCTATTGTCAAATGTTTTTCATTGTTTTGTTTTTAGTGAACAAGCATACATGTTTTATATTTTTATTCTTATCTTTTAATTTTATTAAGATAATTTTATTATTATAGAATTATATTTTATAAAATTTTTGATATAAAATATTTTATAAATTTTAAATTTAAAGTGTACGTTAAATTAAATTTGTAGATAATATCAATAAATTATGTTATTGTGTTATAAATACACTATTTTAGGTTTGAAGTCTTCATGACACTACAAGAAAATATACATTTAATGACACACGAACGATGACACACGCTAATTTATGACTTGCAAAATAGGTGTGTCATAAAAATGTCATGTTTTTTAAAATCTGAACGATTTATTACTTACAATAATGCGTGTCATATTTAATAGTCATAATCCAAAAAATTTGCAAAAACACATAGTACACTTTTAATTGTGTGTCATCTCTAAAAGTCGTATTTTAATTCCCCCCCCCCCCATTATTTTCACCCTTTCCCGCTTCTTCCCCTCAATAACAAAGTTCACGTCGCACCAGGGGTACCGAAGAAGAGAACGTTCAAGAAGTTCAGTTTCAGAGGTGTCGATCTCGATGCTCTCTTGGATATGTCCACTGATGAACTCGTCAAGCTCTTTCCTGCTTTGCTCGTCGAAGGTTACCTCTCGTTATTTTCTCTAGTTGATTTTTTTCTTCTTCAATGGCTGTTGATTTTGAGATTTAGATATTTCATTTATGGAGCCAAAGTATCTCTTCCTGGTTGAGTTTTTTTGGTACCCTTCATTTAAATGATTCACGAGATCTTGTAAACGCTTGGAGTTAATGTAATCTAGGACTCTTTGGATACCTTTTAATATATTTTACAACTGAAGTTTCTGTCTAAAACTATTTTCAAAAACTGAGGCCTTCCAATTCATTAGCTCTTTATGGTTTCTTCAATAGCTTCCACAATCGAATCCTTCTTGTTTTTTCAAGCCTTCTTAAAAACAGTATAAATGTAACATCCTCCATGCCGGGTTAGTGATTAATTTGCAAAGTTTCAACATTTGGTGATTTAAGTAAAATGATGGAAGAGTTCAATGACCTATTTGAGTTATTTGGTGTAGGATTGAATTATAAAGAAGGAAAATTAATAGGGCAAAAGAGTAATTTAGTAAGTGAAATAATTAAATATTCCTTAAGGTGATTTTATAAATCACATGGGAAGCATTTGAGATAAACAAGGTTCCAGACATTTCTCTTCTTCTTCTCCAACCGTGAAGCTTGCAAGCAAAGGTGAGTTGTCTTCTTTTGGATTAATTCTTATGAGTTAAGCATGGGTTTGGTTAATGAAGATTTAGGAAATATGTTGGAGAGAAACAAGGATCCTAGAACTCAAAGAATTGTAAGTTAAGGGAGATTAAAGGTTGGGAGCCATTGAATGAAATCTTAAAGAATTAGAAGCTGGATTTGACTTGTCATCAAGCTAATTAAGAAGTATGAGGTGATAGAATTAAAATTTAGAACAAGTTAGAATTTGAGTAAGATTCTTAAATTCTATATGGATGATTAGTTTTTTTAGTTTTAGAGGTATTGAATGGATAATAATTAGTTTAAGTAAGTGTATGAAAGTTAAGAGTATTAAAGGGAGTGAAATATGAATGTTGGAGCTGAAATGAGATGATTTTCGAGCTCAAAATAGGATTTCTGGGCTAGGGGAATCGGTACCCATTCAAGGGGAATCGATACCCCCTTAACGAATATGAATTTCCAGAATGCTAGAGGGGAATCGATACCCCCAGGGGGGAACCAATTCCCCTATATAAAAAAAAGAAGAAGAAAAAAAAAGAAGAAAGACTAAACTATTAATTCCTTAAATTGGTAGGCTATTAAAGATTAATTTCAAGACATAGACATATGATAATCATCTTGAAAATTATGTTTATGTAGATACTGAGCCTACACGAGTTCTGGAACAATCTACAAGTAGGATCGATCGAGGAAAAGGCAAAGAAATATAGGTGAGTGCATATGCATAGCATAATTATAGAAATATACTCAATTCTAGACTTGTGATAAGTCTAGATTTTATCTTGGTACATGAGCATATTCTGTATTATGAGACATGACATGAATTCATATAAAATGCATTATATGACATGAATATGCAGGAAAAGTTATGAGCTATGTGAAAAGGTAAGAAATTACATGTCTACGCGATATAGACTACGTGAAATGTAAAAGCCCATGTTATGTAGATGAGAACTATAGGTATAGTTGGCATGCCAAGGGTAGAGGGTCTATGCGGTCCTTCGGGACAAAATTCTACGCGGTCCTTCAGGACAAAATTCTACGCGGTCCTTCGGGATATATATATATTCTTTGGAACATGTGTGAAGTCTGGTGAGACACATACTTGATCCCTAGCATATGTATATGATTCTTAAGGAATTCTATGTGGTCCTTATGGACATTATTATATGGCACTATAGTGCAATTCTACGCGGCACTTCAGTGCATTTATACGAGCTGTGGTGACAGCATAGTGCACAACCTCACAATACTTAGATACCTTAGGTTCTCAATATGATATCATGGGCCAATAAACTCATTAATACAAATTCATGAATGTTAAAGTAATATGCTTACAGGTAAGGATAATGGTGATGTAAACTACCTTGATTAAGTATAAGCTTTCATCTCATTTCATATCATTATGACATTTTCATTACATTGCCTTGTTATTATTATTACATTGCCTCACTAAGTCGATGACTTAGCGTGTGAGTGTTTCACACGTAGGATCCGAGAAAGTAGACGAGACAGGTTAAGCAGCTTGAT